GGGATAAGGATAGTTTGTCCCTGTGTACATGGTGTGGAGGGATCTAGCTGTAAAGAAGTGAAATATTTGGATGAAGGAATGTAGCTTGTTGGATAATGGCCCATTTTAATTGAGAAACAGTAGCAATAGGCTTCTGAGTGGTTGTAGAGTGGAAAATAATTCATCACCCACAAGCTTCGTAAATGTGTTTGAATTCTGTCATGTCTGGGAAAAGAGGATCGGTCAACTCCAGCCAAGTTATGGGAGCAGTACCCCATTTTTGAGGGTCTGATCTGCCTCTTGTAAAGATGGAGCATGACAGGTCGATGCAGATACTTTCTTGAACAGTGTAAGGAGCTGACAATTTTTGCAGCCTCTTTAGTGATGGATTGTATATATGAGTTCTATCTGAGGTCTGGTCTAAACTTGAGGCCAACAGATGCACAAAGTAAAGTTACTAGTTAGGTTTTGGACGTATTGAAAATAATGATTGAGTAGCTAGCTGCAATTTTGAATCTGTTGGAAAAGAGTTGTAGGATAGAAAATAACAGATGACCTGCAAAGGCTTTGTAAACACTTTAAATTCTCTTGAGGCTTCGTCCTAGTAGCTAAATGTATTTTGGAAACAGAAAAAATAAACTATAATTATTCTATTTCAGCAGGTGATAAAATGTTTTTCATTTCATCTACTTCTTGAACAAACATCAGATTCTATTTTGGAAGGATTTGTAAGTATTTTGATAAAATCCCTTCTTTATTTACAGATCACGACAGCTTTTAGGGAGATGTGATTAATTTTTATCAAAAATGACATTCTGTAAATAAGGAGATATTAAAAGTATTTTTGTTTTTTAACTTCTCAAGAGTTCCTCTCTCTCTCTCTCTCTCTCTATCTCTGTCTATCTATCTGTCTCCCTCTCTCTCTCGCTGTTGTTTCTTTTTTTTTTTTAAATTTTGCAGTATTTTACATATTGGATCTTTTAATGATGTCAGCTTTTCTGTAAGTTTTTGAATGCCAGTCGTTGGATTTTCTTTCTCTATTTTTTATTTAAATTCGGGTTGGACAAACAAAGACTAGAAGAGAAAACGACGCTTAGAGCTACAAAGGAAATGAAGCTGTGGAGATCCATGATCGCCTGCATTCTGAAGGGAAAACAGCACATTCAAGTTGATCTCATTGTTAGCTAAAGAAATAAACAACTTTATACTGCGTGATCCAATGTGGTGTGAAAATATAATTAAAAAAATGTAAAACATCTTTTAAAACCTATTGTAGCTTTTAATTGACCTTAACCCAATGAACAGATCATGATAGCTATTAAAGTGATGTGATTAAATATAATTTAATGTTTAAGAAAAATTTATTTAGTATTATTACTGCTTAGGTAATAAGCATTATAATATAACACAAATATCTATATGTTGTAAAAAGGAATTTTTGACAATATACACATTTTTTACATATTTATGGTTATTTTTTTAACTTTTATCAAAAATGTCATTCTTGTATATGTACTTATGGATAATATTATACATTAGTTATACATTAGTTATACATTAGTTACTAGTCTTTTTTTAATTAATAACCATTTGTGGTCGGTTATTGACATTAATAGCTATCTGATGATGTGTTAAAATTTTTGAATAATGCAATAATAAGAATTTAAATTTCATCTCTCTGATAGATAATGCAATCTGTTAATACATTGCCCCTTCCAGACATAGGCAATCATAAATCATAATATGTGTAGATTATTCAACCAAACATGCTTGAATTTATATATATATATATATATATATATATATATATATATATATATATATAATCATTTATTTAAAAATATGATTCCTTTGCTACATAAGGGTTCTCATGTTTCAAAACAAGAGCCGAAAACTTCAATATAATTATTTGAATTAAATTGAATTAAAGTACCAAGCTCATTTTTTAAAAAATAATAACAAAAATACTAAAGAACTTTGGATTATTTACCTAACGAGTTCTTTCCTATTTTCTATATATTCACACACACACACACACACACACACACACACACACATATATATATATATATATACATACACAGATATATATATATATATATATACATACATATATATATATATATATATATATATATATATATATATATATATATATATATATATATATATATATCTTTGTTTTTATTACTTCAAACGTTATTATAGTGGATACTTGTATTCGAAATAGATGTACTGTTTTTCTCTCTGGCAGGAAACGAACCTGGGTACCTCTTGGTAGAAGAAACTACCATTTGATCCAGTGTTTTTTCAATACGTGACTTCAGTGATTTCTATTACAAAGGGTGTGGGTTGTAGGTTTGATTCCTGCCGGAGTGCAAATTTTCTTAAAGATTTCTCAAATGTGCAGACTGATGGATTTTTAAAGACCTTAGGACTGTATCTCTAAGCCAATAATATCAAGACGCAACCTTCTTAACAAATTGAATGTGAGATTCTAACTTGGGCATCATATTTGGAGAGTGAACATTCTAACCACTTGGCTCTTCACACACATCTATCTACCAACCTATATATATATATATATATATATGTAATGGATTCAACTGGAATTTGAACTCGGCTCTGCGATTCCTCAATCCAAGCTGCTCTCCATTACTCCACTGTGCTTCCTTATGTGCTAATACCCTTGGGAAAGGTATGAATCCTCTTCCTCTCCCTCCAGCTATGGGTAAAATAGCAGGACAGACTGGGTTCTATAGCTTTGGAATGCAACTGGTCTAGGAGAAGGACTACTCTGAATTCAAAACCTGCGGAGGGTCGTTTGGGAACCTTGTGGCATTCGGTGTACCAGGTCTCTGTATTCGTCCCTTCAAAAAGTGTGGATGGTCCTGCACGAGACCTTCACCACTACAAATCTCATGTGCCGGTGTCGGGCTGTCAGTTTCCTGGAAACTGATCTGCTTGACCCTCATACGTCGAATCTCGACGGGAGAGTCGATTATATATATATATATATATATATATATATATGTGTGTGTGTGTGTGTGTATTTCCATGCCTTGGAATCACTTTGGATCATTATTGTCCTTTGGATGATGAGATCACAATCTACATCCAAAAAACATTCAAGTTTTTTTTTTTTAAATCTAGAAGATCGTGTTTGTGCTGATGGATATATTAAAGAATTTCCAAAGATTTTGCTTTACAAAGCACATGTCCTGTCTTGTCTTCTTTTCTCTTGTGATACCTAGGGTAATGTGCTGTCTTGTCTTCTTTTCTCTTGTGATACCTAGGGTAATGTGCTGTCTTGTCTTCTTTTCTCTTGAAACAGAAATCCCAAAGTAGACGCTATGTTGGACATGCCATTTTGGCCAGAAAAGATAAGAGCATACTAGAAACAACAAAAAAAATCTTGTATGGACAAATAATTAGAGTAAAAAAGCCACAAAATCATGTTTTAAGGATTCGACAGTTAAGTCACCCACAGCTTTTAATATCAAATAAGACACTGGAGCGAATGATGCTACTGACTGATTAAAATGGAGAAAAAGTACTTATGAAGGATCAAATCTCTTTAAAGAAAACAAGCGCAGTTATACGAAGGTGAAAAGGGCCACAAGAAAGGGACTGCTATTAAATGATGACAATAAACCTTTTATGTGTAATACTTGTAACCATGTCTATCTATCACAAACTGGTCTGATCCGCTATATGTGAAACTATGCACTAAGACCTTTAAATAACTACTTGCATCTAATCTTTCCAGATTCAGACGTGCTAGATATGTGATATCTTAAATATCAATTTATAATCCACTAAGCAATCAAGACAAGAAATTTTGCATCACTTTTGTGAGTGTCGGGTAATAAAATAAGCACATCCCATCTCCCCTCTCGCTTGTAACCATCCATCACAATAAAATAAACATTTTTCAGAACTTAAGCAGAATGCGTCAAATAAAGCCGCATAACCTTCTACTTAGAATTTTTACTATATTACAGTGTAAATCCCTTGCAAGGATTAAGAGGCCTTTTAGATCACCTAATTTACAGGCCACTTTTACATATTACATTGATTTTATTTATTTTATTCCAGCTTTTATTCCTTACATAATCATACTTATTATAAAACCGAGGTTGTGTGTGTGTGTGTGTGTGTGTGTGTGTGTGTGTGTACGTTTATATATTGGATCGGATTTCCTACATTTTTCAACCGATTTCAACAAAACTTCGCTTTTTTTTGGCAGGTAGTGTTTCTTATTGTCTTGCACACTTTTTTCTTTATTTTTTACATTCAGAATGCTTTAAAAATTCCATTTATAAGACAATTGTTTATAATAAAATTCTATTCAATCGGTAGACTCATAACGATTGGAAACAATGTTTTTGTTTGAGTTTGGGTTTGACCAATTCGTAAAAAAACAAAAAAACAAACAAAAAACAACAAAAAAAAAAACAACTAATTGACTTGCCTGTCCGTCAACCTTAAACAATAATCTTTGTCAATTTTATTTTTCAGTCTTTATGATGGTCGATACTTGATCTATCTCTTACTGTTACAACCCCGGGCAACGCCGGGCTCTACTGCTAGTTATTTATATTTATTTTATTTTTGTAGCATAACATTTCAATTTTTACATATTAATTTATTTTATATCTAATTTTAATGAAATACATGTATTTTTGTGACGCACATGTATGATTTAGTGCAAAATTAGTAAATTTAATTTACATTTGGTATCTTAATTTATTTACTTATGAGATAGAAATAATCATCCTCAATTAACGAATCAATTGATAGCCATACACGCCACAAAAGTAAAAAAAAAACAGCTTGTAATTTAACTTAATTTTATTTATGTTTTTGGAAATAATAATGGACTTAGGGATGCAGGTCTTACTAATTAATCCATAGCTGGGGAGAAGAGGTGGACTCATACCTTTCCCTAGGGCATTTGCATATAAGTGAATCTAACGAACCAAAATGGAATTGGAACTGGGCTCCCCGAATAACAATCTAGTCACCCATCTAAGTACTGACCAGACTCGACGTTGCTTAACTTCGGTGACCGTACGGAAACCGGCGTTTCAACGTGATATGGCCGTAAGCCAATATTGCTGCGGTTGGAGATGCTATGAATGAAGTTTTTATAGTGGTCAAACGATCTTTCTTTTGCCCAGACTTCTTTAATAGCCTCTCTTGGTGCACGGGAAGTTGAAGGTGGTTTGTCTGCATTTTGTTTCCCATAAATTTTCAAATGGATTCAGATCTGGGCTCTTACCAGACCAGACCAGACCAGACCAGGCCAGGCCAGACCAGACCAGTGTTATTGTTACGTTGGTTCGCTTCAAGAAATTCTGAACGACTTTTGACTGGTGGCATAGAGCATAAGCATGCGCAATTATTGTGCACTAATGAATATGCAGTTTCAGTTTCATCTGTACCATTCCCACATATATTGCAACATTCATCGTTGTTCCTGGGGGCAAGAAATAATCCAGCTTTTCCAGAATTGAACATTGTTCCCGAAAACATCTGGCTTGGTAAGTACATCATCTGAATTGTATATATATATATCTCCTCCCAGGGCTTCTTAAAATGTTTCTATTATGCATAGTGAACTGTTGTAGATTCATCTGAATAAAATAACTTTGTTCTAGTCTTCAGTTGTCCAGGTTTCATGTTACAAGACGCTTGGATTTCATAGCTGCAGTTAGCCATGTTTTACAAACCAGTTTGCCTGATTTCAGACTAAATATCTCTGATGACGTGAAACTGTCATTAGACATTTGACCATTTCAAACAAGAGCAACGTCTATCTTGTTGGGGACCGTGCAGTTATCTGCACCATCAAATCGTCATCTCAAGTGCTGTTTTTACTTGGACATCCACTTCACTTCTTGTGGCAAAATTCACGAGAAGAGTGTGCACGACTGTTTTGGCCTAATATCACAGATTAACCTTCATCGTGTAGAATTTGAGACTTTTGTGTAGGTGAAAGTGAGCATTTTGGGGCCATGTTCTAAGCCTAATTCACTGCACAAATACTATAACTATGCTCTGAGCGTTGACTTCAATGTTCACTTATATATATATATATATATATATATATATATATATATATATATATATATATATATATATATATATATATATATATATATGGATGACTTTTATATATATATATGTGTGTGTGTGTGTGTGGATAACTATATATATATATATATATATATATATATATATATATATATATATATCCTTCATGGCCGCCTGAAGATTGTGTTTAGTGAAGCTCCTTCTCTCTATATGAAGTCCGATGTCGGCTGGAAGGTCAAGTTGAATACTTTTATCAACATTTTATACACCATATATATATATATATATATATATATATATATATATATATATATATATATATATATATTGTGTGTGTGCGTGTGTGTAGGGGTATGTGAGAGAGAGTTATGTGGTGTGTTGAGGTGGAATGTTGGGTGTATTGGTGTGTCTTTCCATCCCTTAAATAACATCTTTTCAATGCATTCAAACAGTAAGGTTGAAAAATAAGAATATAAAAAAAAAAGCTTTCAAAATCATTTCTTGATAAGTTTGATTTGAGAGTGTTTGTTTCCACACCCTCCAAAGATGGAGTAAAAAGAATTAGAAAAAAAAGAAGCCCAGACGGAAGCAATGTAAAGAAATGGGGCGTGGCTGACCAACCCACTTCCAGTAATGAATTTTGGACAAGCACACTCGGCCTAAGGACACTCCTTGTTTCATTCGAAATATTTGATAAGAAAATTTATATTACATCCTGCGTTCCACATAGCTGCTTCGTTCATAAGTTTCTATTTCTTTAGTTTTTAACAAGAGTATAATACTTCAGTTCGCTGGAGTTTTACAAGAGTCATTACGATCAGTTTATTTTTTCATATTGCTATAGATTAAGCACTTCCTCTTGTTCACGAATATTAATAAAAATGAAGAGGAAATTCCATTTTGTAAGAGTTAATAGGGGGTCCAGTTTGTTATGCAAATTCATTGTAAAATGATCCCCTTGACCGACTCCGAAAATAAATATGCTCATACAGCGGGACATTAAAATTTAAAAGTAATTTATTTGGAACTTTGTAATTTCGAGTACTTAATCAATATTGATTATATAAAAAAATAACTGCTGGAGATTACGAATTTCTATTTTTTTCATTTTTATTTTACATTTTAAAAAATACGTGATATGAACATATTTTCTTTTGGCTTCCGTTGGTGGATCAATTTACAATTAATTTACATAGGAAACGAAACCCTTAAAATTTTTATAAAATTTAATATTTATTTTTGTTTTAGATTCGTGATCTGAAATGCTTAATCAATATATCTTCTTTTTTTTTACAGTAAGTCCCACCCTTTACAAGGCCTGGGGGGACATTTGAGGTAGACTTGGGGGGTAGTTCATGCGGATAGAAGTGGAAGATATCGGTAAACCCTAGCCTTGAACAGGTTAAGATTGTAGTGATCGGGGAAACGTTCTCTTGGGAGTCGGTTCAACAGAAAAGTGGTTCGCCGAAAGAAGCTATATATAGTAATAAGGAGAAAACTATTGAAAACAATATTATTTCTGATCGAAGCGCCTATTATGACATTGGTCATTCCTCCAGAAATACCATATTCCTGCACATCTTCTCTTTTACGTTAATATCTTTAAAGTGTGCATAGACACAAATCTCATTGACATGTTTCCAGTTCTTTATAATTCGCAATTCAGAATTACTCATTTTCGAAACTGAGAGAGAGAGAGAGAGAGAGAGAGAGAGAGAGAGAGAGAGAGAGCAGTCTAAACTACTATTTAATCTATAGGTGGGAGGAAAAAGAGATGAATCGATACCATTGTTAATGATATTCGTGAAAAAGTTCAAACAATCTCATTCGAAATTTGAACTTGGCCTGCCAATTTCATTTTCATTTGAAATAATAATAATAATAATAATACAATATGCGTGAGGATGGAATAAATTATGACCATGGAATATTAGTGTTTAAGCCTTTTTATTATATCCTTACTCTGTCCTGGACATTGAGTTCTACCTGGATTCTATCCTCTTGGAATTTTTATTCAAAAAATATACATGTATGGGTATTTATATATTTTGCCTATGTATGTATATTTACCACTAATATTATCTATCTATCTATCTATCTATCTATCTATCTATCTATCTATATATATATATATATATTTGTGTATCGCATCGGTTTAAATAAATAGGCAAAGATGAGAATCTGTTAATCCTAAATAATTTCGTTGACAAAATGTCTGAATGAAAACAGGCGTTGAAGTGTCAATGTTTCTGTAATGAGAGCCAGTTATGTACCAACCAAATTGTTTTGGTTTAGAAGAAAGTAATCGTAAATTTCTTTCAACGGAACTTTTGACTCGAGTCTTTAATTAACATTGTAAGCGTGCGCCAGTTTCCTTTACACAGAACAAAAGCTCTAACCTCAAATGCCAGTTGCTTTTCCTTTTATTGATTTGCGATCCCAGATGCTAATCACCGACGGACAACATTTTGACTGCTTTGATAATGAACCGTATAAACAGACTGACTATATAATACCCATTGTCTGAAATTAGAGATGACTCACCAATTACAATATACAAGGCGGGACTGTGAAGCGGACATTACATTCCAAGAAAAAAGGTTCTTGCTGGAATGGTTCAGTGAAGCATTCCGGTGTATTTGCTCGTGTCTTTGAACCAAAGGAATGGTAATAGCTTAAACGGAATCATTTATATTTTCATGTTTAAGTGATTGTAACATAAAATAGTAATGAAAAGGTACTAAGCTGTTACCTGACATCTGTCATTCTTTACAGCAGCGAATGTTGGACAATTTCCTCAAAGATGAAGAAGAGACTCGAGGTGACAGAGATGTGGTTCTACAGAAGGATGCTAAGGATATCATGGACCGAGCGTGTGAGGTCTTAGAGAGGATGCAAACAAAGAGGAGGCTTAGACTTAACATCAGGAAGAGGCAGCGGAAGTTTCTGGGACACATAATGAGGAAGGAGGGCCTGGAAAATATGATACTCACGGGTCGAATAGAGGGAAAGAGAGACAAAGGAAAACAACGCGGGGCATATCTGGCGGACTTAAGCAAGTGGATGACAGAACGTGGTCTTTGGGGAGGAAGCAGAGGGAAGGAGCTTGCTGAGATCTGCAAAGGATAGAGGGAGGTGGAGAGCCATGATCGCCTACGTCCTGAAAGGACATGGCACATAAAAAGAAAGGAGAAAGAATGGAAAGGACGTCATTAAATATCCGAAACGTAACATTATCGCCGGACTTCATCCAATCCTCACGGTCAGTGGGTGTATGGCTCAGCAGTCCTCTTCGAATGTAAACCCAACATTCTCGCGAAGATGTAGGAGACTTCTTCCTCTCTTGGGTGGGTGTTTATATATTTGACTATCATACTTTTCTCAATGCATACGCATTGAAAGTGCAATAAGACGACCTCGGATTATTAGAGGCAGTCACTGACATCTGCACTTGATGGTTAGATGGTCATTTCTTAGGCCAAATCATCAATGTCCCTTGCTTTTTTTTTTGGCCCAGTGGATAAAAGCATTGATTAAAGTAATCAAGTGACTTGACACAAAGAGTTGTGAGTTCAATACCTTGCCACAGCAGAGGTGAGCAAAAGCCTTGGAGAGTTAACTTACTAAAGGGAAATAATTGAAACTGATATATCGAGAAAAGGCATGGCATGTGGAAGTAGAACAATCTACCTAGTGGACGAAATAAAGGGATCAGTTTGAAATTCCAACGTATATGTCCTGAAGAAGGCCAGAGCGTATAACGGCCGAAATGTTGTGAATATGACAATAAAATAAGGAGAAAAGTTTGAATAATGTAAATAGTGAAAATAATTCTTTCTTATAGCTGGCCACAGCAGAGGTGAGAGTTCAACTTACTAAAGGGAAATAAGTGAAACTGATATATCGAGAAAAGGCATGGCATGTGGAACTAGAACAATCTACCCAAGTGGACGAAATAAAGGGATCAGTTTGAAATTCCAACGTATATGTCCTGAAGAAGGCCAGAGCGTA